ACTTTAATACAGTGATGCTTTTCGTTTCACAGTCCAAAGTTCCAAAAGCCGTTATCAGCGTTGAGACTCTGAATGCAATGTTCCAGGTGGAGAAAATAGGACACAGTCATGGGCTGCAGATCACATACATCACAGATGGTCAAACAAGAAACCTTTTTGTCTATCATGAAAGTGGAAAGGTGAATATAATGGAGATTCTGGAGGAAGCAAGATGCTTAGATGTTAGATTTGTATTTTGGGAGAGTTACTGTGTGCAAGATCTGATTTTAGTTGGCATCACTAAGACTTGTAGAATATAGTAAGTTGCAGAATTTGATACTCCCAACTGTAGCACCCTGCTCCTTTTCTGTTGTGGCATACATTCAACCTCACCCTTTGGATAGTCTGAAGTGGTACATGATGTAAATCTCTGTAAGGTAACTGCCTCGTGGTTTTACACAATTTCATGGTTAAATTCTTGGCATTGTTCTACATTATTTCCAAGCCAACAATGATAATTTTAAAAAGTATCTCTATAGATATTGTTAGACTTCTGTTTCTCTCTTCACCAGAGTTCTTGTGTCTTTCCAGGTACAGAGGTTTTTAAACAATCCATAACTGAATCAACTGAAAAAGCCTGTGTATACAGACTTGGGTGACTGTCCATGCTGAGAATGGACATGCTTGGACCTCCCAGGAGGGCATTCTTAAATTATTTTCAAGGGTCAGTGTTTTTCAGGTGTCTGGGACAAATCACTGACTCTCTCTGCCCCTTGGGGAGAAAGGACCTCTTTACAACGAGGTCACAAGGAAGGAGAAAGAGCACTGCTTCTCCAAAATGCCTTACTGTTCTTGTTGATCTTTATGTCTGTGTTTGCTGTTTTCCCAGGAGATTGTTGACTGGTTCAATGCTATTCGGGCAGCACGCTACCATTACCTCAGAACAACCTTCCCAAATGTCCCTGAGCCTGAGGTGAGAGCTGAACGGGGCTTGAAGCAGTCTAGCCACATAGAGCATGGGAAAACATTTTCTCACTTCTGACAGAGTCAGGTGCTTAAAAAACAGCACTTGGGTCCAGGAAATGGACAGAAGAGGTAGAAGGAAAGGCCATAACATGCATGAATAACATGCAAAAACTTGGTTAGCATTTAAGGCCTTAAAGTCTCTATGTGATTCTTACACAGTGTAATCTGTCAAAAATGTTATGTTCCTTCTTACTTCAGACTTCCCTTTACCAAGCAACCAAAAAAATCCCAGACCCCAAAAGCCACAATTGATGGTGATTAACTTTCACAAAAACAGAGCAGAAATGCAATCTTGAATGAGACATCCTGTCCTGGTTTCGGGTGGGACATACACAGACTTTTTTTGTGTTTGTGTTCTCCTAGCTCGTACCCAGGATCACAAGAAATTTTGTCAAAGAAGGATATATGGAGAAAACGGGACCAAAAGTAAGTGCATATTTGGCATTACACAAACAGGATCATTCCAGATAGAGAATATTTGGTAGTTCAATGTCCTGACTTGTAAATTATTTGCTCAGTGACTCTCTGCTTCCTGGGTTGATAAAAGACACCATATTCAAACCTGTCATGTTCTTTGGGATCATGTTTTATTTTGTGTGGAAAATGAGATCGGGAAGAAGAATCCTTAAGGAGTAAACAAGGTGGATTATCTGTCAATGGACATGCAAAGTGCTATTACACAACACCACATGGATTGTTATATCTGCTAACTGCAGCTCCTGCCACAGCAGAACATGATGTGCTGACCACCCCTACTTCTCTGTTTCACTTAGAGTCAGTTGCACTTAAGTCACATCTACTTAGAGCAGTAAAGTGTCATTGGAGCAAATTTCTCTACAGTGAAGCCAATAGTTTGGTTTGTTTTATTGTGAGAAGTGTTTGGGCCAGTACTCTTGGAACAGAAGAGTGGGGTTTTGGGCACTGCTGAAGGAGGAGATAAAAATCTGAGGTCTTGTTTGAGCACAGCCACTTCTTGCCTTGCTCTCCTCTGAGTGAACCACGAGCCAAGTCCCATTATAAAGTTCAGCAGTGCAATGCTGATACTGAATATGCTGGGTTTTGGCCCAGCTTGTGCCAGTGTCCAGCACCTCTTCTGCAGGTACTTGCACAGAGCATGAAAGATTTTGTGTTTTTCTCCTGAGGCCTAAATTCTGCTTAAACTGAGTTGAGTCCTAGAAGAGGCCTCTTCAGTTCAGCCTGGAGCAATTAATAGCTCAGGAATGGTCAGGTAAGTGTAGCTGATGGAATTAGCACCTGAAAAAACCCAACTAGTATTGTACACCCAAAATTCCAGGGACAACCTCCCTGATCAGATTGTTGAAATTGGAAATTGATTGCTCACTCTCTTCACTATCACCACTCAGGGGTTGCTCTCTGCAGTGCTTTCAATCCATTTCATGCAACTTCCTTAATCCTGTTAATTTGATTACTTCCCTGCCCAAAGGATTGTCATTGAATGTAAATCTGTATTTTGAGCCCAGGGAAAAGAGAGAGCTGGGGGCTGCACACAGCAGTCCTGTTATCAGTTGCAGGGATGAAGGAAGCTGAACTCCAGCTCCAAGTCATTCAAGTGGTCCTGGGATTTGAATAGACCAAAGTCTGCTTTGAGACTTGGGTCTTTAAAGAATTTCAACCATTTCCTTGCAGCAGAAGGAGGCCTTTAAGGTGCGCTGGTTCTGCTTGGATTCTCAGGAAAGGAACCTGCTATACTTTAAAAATCCACTGGTAAGAGGAGTGTTCTTTGTTCCACAGCCCCTTCATGAAGCAGGTGGGGAGGAAGGGTCTGTTCTCATCCACCTTTTCCAGTGGCTCTGCCAGACTGGAGCAGGCCCAGCCTCAAGAGCCCATCTCCCTTGCCAAAGCATGTCTTTGAAGCTGAGCTGGTGGGGAACTCTGGCCTGTAGAGTGGCTCTGAGAAAGATCTTTTAAAAGTAACTGCTACTGCCTGTGGTGTTCATGCCCCCTCTCCCCCAGCCCTAGTGCCTCTATGTCTGTAACCTTAGCCAAGATGAGCAATATTCCAGTTGACAGCCCCAGTATCCTGCTTCCTAGCACTGCTTTAGCCATGGGAATGTCCTTTCCTGCCCCTTCTGAACACCCACCAACCAGCTCTGTGAGGCTGGGACCCTGCCTTCTCCTCCTGAGAATGCCTGTGAGTGCAAAATATCCCTTTGTGTGTTCCCTGCTAGTATCACCAGTCCGTGTCATCAGTTCCCCTCTGTGCATCCCCAGATCCTGTTCCTGTCAAAGGACAGATCAGTGTCTGCTGGAGCTCCACTGTCTGCTGGCTGATGGCTGTCTTCTGCCTCCTTCTTTCCAGGATGCATTTGCACAGGGCCAGGTTTTCATCGGAAGGAGGGATGAGGGATATGCAGTACGAGATGATTTGCCCCAGAAAGTCTGGGTGAAGAAGAAAAAGCCAATGATCACTCTGGTCACGCCAACGAGAGAGTTTGTGTTTATCTGTGAGAATGACAGGAAGCAGAGGGAGTGGATGGATGCCTTGAATGGAGTCATCACCCAACTGTGATGTCCACAGGGAGGAGCAGGCAGGCAGCTGCATTCCACCTAGCTGCAGCTTCTGGCCACACAGGAACAGGGTTGTTTTCAGCAGAGTGGGATGAATGTATCTTACAGCACTACATTTCTGGCACAATAAAAAAACAAGCCAAGTTTAAGTTGTGGAGGATACTGTAATGAAATCAGTTCTGTAATGGAATCACACAGATTCTTCTAGCTCCTTGCTTTCAACAGTCTCTAGTGTTTGGCTTTTATGTGACTGGCAAATCCAACATCCAGTGATTTTTTTTCCAAAGTACAACCCCACACGGTGCCCCAGTGAATGTGCTGAGAGTAAAGGATGAACATACATTGATCTGGCTCACCCAGGAACAGACGAAGGTTAATGAGCTTGATTAAACTGAACACTGAAAGGCAGAAGCAAGGTTTAAAAGTATTTTCTTCAGTGACTTGCTTGCAAATACTCTGTGAATAAGGACTGGTGTTCAGTGTTGGAGGGGAGCCTTCTCATCAGGTACCACTGTGTGCAGGAACTGATGGAGATTGCACTGGCTGACACAGAGCACTGAGTGTTCCATGCCTCAAGACAAAGTCTGAGCTCTGGTTCTACCAAGCAGCAAGTAATTCACACATTTCATTCTTCTTTACAGATAGCCTTATTTTGCAAATCAAGAGGAAGTCTTGCAGACCAAGTTTCTGGTGAGGCTTCCACCTTCTGCTGACAATTGCTAGCTGGTCTTGAGATACTCTAAATAGGTCTTTTTTTGCAGAAATGAGAAGTGCCGATATTTGCAGGAATTAGTGACACTAATTCTTCTTTCTCTCCACCCCCACTTGCCCAATAGTGCAAAGGAATTGTTTGAGTTGGTTCATCATTCTGCCTTTCTCAGCCAGCTCATCATCCAGCTCTGAATAGCGTGCAGCAGTTTTATGTACTGATATGCTCCCAGAACTTCCCTGTGTTCCAGGCTCTGTCCCCACACAACCCCATTCTAGCTCACATGGTGGTTCAGCAATTCTATTAAACAGTCTAATCCTGCAGTTCCTGAAATCAACAGAGAGCAGCTTTTGAGTTGTTTTGAGCAGGTTTTGAGTTGAGGAACAATGCCAGTCTTGACTGTAATTGTTATTTTGAGATGCCCTGAGTAGCTCAGGATGACCTCAGAAGGGTTTGGTCCCTCGAGTAGCCGGGACTACAGTCAGACAAGGTCTGCACTGTGCTGTGCTGAGCCACTGCTCTCCCGGCTGGGTCAGCAGACTGCCCATGTCAGCAATTCTCACTATTACAAAATCGGGAAATTCACGGTGGCAGTGAAATATACAGATAACGGAGACTTTTTTGGACAGTCAATGAAAGTGAAGGCCAGACTAGAGAGTTCTGCGTCACAGTCCATTTCCACCGGCAACCCAAATCGCGCGCCCGAGGCGCGTGAGAAGAGCAGAGGAGAACAGAGCAAAGCGGGTGAGACGAGCAGAGGAGAACAGAGCAGAGCGGGGCAGAGCAGAGCGGGGCAGAGCCGGCGCGCCCGGGGCGCTCTCGGCACCGGAGGAGGAGCCCGGGGGAATCGAAACCGCGCGGCCGCTGCGCTCCGCCCCGCGCCGCGCCATGGCCGCCGTCACCGAGCTGGAGGGGCTGGAGCTGCACTGCTCCTGCTGCCTGCAGCTCTTCGCGGAGCCCGTGCGGCTCACGGGCTGCGGCCACAGCTTCTGCCGGGGCTGCATCCTCCGCTACTGCGCGGGGCGGCCCCGCGCCCCCTGCCCGCTCTGCCGGCGCGACTTCGAGCTCCAGCACCTGCGGCCCAACCGCGAGCTGGCCGTGCTGCTCAGCCTCATCCCGTGGGAGCTGAAGGAACAGTTGGAAACACAGGAGGAGCTGAAAGCCTATGGAGCTGCTGCCTGCAAGGACCTGAGCTCGGCGGGGCGGGGTCGTGGGGAGAAGGTACGGCAGGAGGCAGCCCGGGGCTCCCCGACACCCGGGGGCTTCACCCCCCGACATCCTGGGGCTCCTCCGCGACACTCCGGGACATTCCGGGATTGCATCCCGGGGTGACATCCCCCGACTCCCTCGGGACATCCCCGGGCGGCATCCCCCGACTCCCAGGGAGTCCTGCCCGCCACATTCTGGGACAGCACCCAGCGGCACCCCCGGGACAGCCCGGGTTTCCATCCCACAGTAACACACGGAGCACACGGGTTCGGCGGACTGTGTTTGGGGCTCAGTGGTGGTGTCTGTCACATTGAGAGCTGCATAGCTGAATTAGAAGAACTAATACCTGTACATATTCAGCCGATGCACAATAGTAGTAAGTGACTTCTTCGTGCTGGGTGTTATTTATTGCAAAAGCATTGCCTTGGAGACTGCTGAAAGGACACATAACATTGTTAGACACATAACATTATTAGTGCTACAGCTCCACCCAGCTTCAGACACAAAGTGGGAAAGATTCATGATCTAGGTTTCTGCTTAGAATGACTCCCAGAGGAGGAGATGAGAAAAATGTGTTGACCTCTGTTATTTTAGCACATATGTATCTTTTTCAGTCAAGCTAAGAGCATATTGAAGCTTACCATTATAGTTGAACATGTAATTATTTGGTGACTGTTGATGTTGACTTCATTGTGATTATTTTTACTCAGAATTGTCTTTCAGACACCTCCTCAAACAATCCATTGCTTAACTAGTGTAAGTCATGTAGGGGATTTTTATTATCCTGCAGCTTAGCCTAGTTGTGCTTTCTCTGAGGTTTATATGCATAAATAGTCCAATGTGTCACTTTAAAGGAGGAAGAGATATGGGAGAGCTCCAAGCAACAAGAAATAACTGCAGAGACCATCCACCTGTTGAGGAAAGATCTTAATAAAACAAAGGTAAACATTGTACAATCATCACCTACAGTAACTTTCCACTCTTCTGGGTTGGAGATGTGGTTGACTGCAGGGTTGCCTTCCAGCCCAGAGCTGGAATCTGCCTTTTTGTGTCTTTCTTTCTGTCACAATTCTGTTTTTACTGATGAGAATGAATATATGGCATCAGCTGCACTAATTTCTGTCTTGGCTAGCACGAAGGCCCCTGTGCATTGGCATTTTTGCATTTTTCTGCTTATCCCAGGAGTAGCCTGAATGTTTCTGGTGCACTTAGATACAAATTAGAAATCATAAGAGGGAATACTGGGCTTTCTGAGTTGTCAAGCAGACTCCACTGGCCATAAAATATTCATAATCCTTAACATGCCCGAAATCTCATTTCATGTAATGTAGCATAGTGTCAAATGTATTTTATTCCTTTGAATAAAGTTTTCTTATCTGCAGGGGTCAGTCAAAGAGCACATTGGATGGGGCAGTAATTCTCATATTCAGTGCATCTTTCCTAACTACACAACGATCTCCATATTTTCTGCCTTTCAGGAATATACATCTCAGATCAAAAGCCAGATTATTAAAGATTTCTGTTGCATGAAGGAATATGTTGAAAGACAGGAGAGAAACACACTGATGTTCATTGAACAGCAGCAAAAAGCTGCTCAACAGAAAATTGAAGACACTATTCACCAGCTCACAGACATCAAAGCCCAAACTGTAAGTGATGAAATGAGGTGGTGAATATGAGTAGAAACTCAGGCTCACTGTGTGGGATAGCTGAATACGTGCAGAGCACCTTTGAGGTCCCCAGTGCACCATTCTCGTAGAGACAATGGTGCCAATCCACGGACATTGCTGTCAGCAGGGGGAGCTTGGGGTGAGAAATTCAGAGGAAAAAAATTACTGAGAGAGGCACAGGCTGGGAATGGAATTCAGAACTAGATTTTTTCCAAGGGTATTGGTGAGCTGGAATGAAGTGGGAGCTGCAGGGCTGAAATCCAGTCCTCAGTCAAATCTAAAGTCAAGGTCTTTCATGATCTTTTTATTTTCCAGAATTTGTATTTACACACAGATATACAAGTTTAAAAGCTCACAGAGTTATTAAATATTTTGTAATAGTTTTGTTGTGGAAAACACATCAAGGGCCCTCAAAAGGCACAGTTAAAGCACTTCAGATTGTGCAGAGCTGGGTTTGATGTTGAAAACAACAGTGCCAAGTGATGCAAGTTAGCCAGCAGGAATTTGGAGTGGGGCTCACTGGGTGGGGCAGTGCCATGCGACAGAATTGGACTTCCAGAACCCAGGCACAGGTGCCCACATTGGAATTCACCTGATCCAGGGTCCCCTTGCAGGCAGTGAGGAGAAATGGGTACTTCCAGTGTTATCTGGCCTACTTGAGATATCTGCCTGCAAAGGAGATTAATCCAGCCTCCAAAAGGCTGTTTCCTCCTACAGAGTGTACACACAGACTAACAGAGCAATTTCAGATGTAGATTTCCACAAGTTCTAAATTTAGGCAAACTAGGTTTACCCTTTCCTCACACTAATACATTTTCAAACTTTTGGTTTCGGTTTGAGAAGAAGAAGGAAGTTTAAAAAAAAACTTGTGTATTCATATGAACACTTAAAGAAGTTGTAATATATATACAAAAGAAAAATTAGTTGCATTCTTGGTTTTCTTGAGGAAAACACAGTCTTTTTATTTTTAATAAGAATATCCCTCACTATTTTCTGTGAGATTTCAGGCTGGTTTGCTGAGGTAACTGTCTTATAAAGGAAACTTTTGATACAAAGAATAAGATTCTTGGAGAGATCACTGCTCTTTTTCCACTTGGGCTTTATATTATAATCTGATCTGTGAGATTAAATAACTGCTGCTGTTTGCATCTTTCTCTTAATCCTTTTGTCATTATTAGAGAGACTTATGTGAGGGGCAGAGGTACGAAGGCTCACCTTTGACAATAAATAAAATTACACTTGATGAAAAGCTTAATGTTGTCAAAAGTGCTGTAGAAGATCTTAAGAGAAAGTTGGAAGTTTTACTCTTGGAGAATTATGCTCCGCAACTCCCACCAGGTGAGTTTCCCTTATTTTGAAATCTTTTTCTTAAAGGCAATGGCTCTAGCAAATAGAGTAAAAAATTACTTTGTGCAAATAAAACAAGAAACGCAATACTCAGCAAAAAACTAAGGAGCACTGTAAAAAATTTTAAGACAGGAACTGCTTTATCTGCATAGAACGATGCATCTGCTTTACCCATCTCACTCTTCTGACAGTTCCCCTCTGACCACACCAGCAGAGAGTGTTTGTTAGTTTTGGGTTTGCCTACGTGCCTGATGTCCTTTGTAATTTATACAATTAAAAAAAGCAGCTCCTTGTTTTGCACTTGAACAAGTAGCTGGGTTTATTTAAGGTGTGTTTTCCTTTAGAAGCTTAAATACTTCCTATGTACATTTTGAAGAAATGCCTTAACACTTCACTTATTTTTGTATTTAGTGCATCCTCCAGACTTATCCCAGGAGCCAAGTGTCAGCTTATCATCTCCAGAGCCTGCAGCTGAAAGTCCTGAACCAAGCATTTCCAGCCAATTTTCTCAGTGTAAGTATTCAAGCCAGCAGGACCCTTAACCACATCCAGGGGACCCTGAGACTGAATTTGCTGAGGAAAATTGTCCTTGCCAACATTAGCAGGAAATGTGGCTGTTTACTGAAGCATGGAAACACAATGGAGTTGCCATGAATGAATCAGTTACTGACACATAATGTAACATTGTACCTGACTGCGGATGTAGGATAAAACAGAGATAAGAAACCTGTTTTGTGTGAGCTCTGTGGTAGCTTGTGCTGGCTGTGGAGTCTGAGCTGGTGTACAGGCAGTTACTGCACCTCACTGATCTTGGCTGTTAAGCTGTAGTTACTCCAGTTGTTACTTGAATTCTGCAACGTTTTGACAGAAACATTTTTACAGTCAGCACACTGTACTACATCTGTAGCTTAACACAGAAAACAAATGTTTTTGCTGATAAAATATATAAGAACTTGTCCCAGTGAACAGATGACTGTAAGCTTTATGGAGGTAAGCATCTCATTTATTATTGAGAAAAAGGTAATTTTTAAAAAAAAAGATTGTGTCTGGGAATAAAATCCATCTTTTAGGGTGCAAGATACTTTCACCTTTCCACTGGAGTGCATATGAGTCTGTCATGGATATTTGCACAGTTGTGCCTGTTAAATGTTTCAGTATGCCCAGGATACAGTTGATAGTGCTTGGTTGAGGATTTTTGATTCAGGTTTATGGCTTTATCATTGGGTTTCATTTCTCTTCTGGAGCAGGGATACACCTGCCTTCTTGTTGCCTGCATGTGAGAATATTTTCCTTTCTGTCTTCCAGGGGCAGATGATGTGACTTTTGACCCCACAAGGGTACACGAGCGCTTGGCACTCACAGCCCAGAACAGGAGAGTGATGGTTTCCAGCTGCCTGACCAGTTATCAACCATCACCCAAAAGATTCTGCATCAGCCAAGTCATGTGTTCACAGGGCTTCTCTACAGGGTGCCACTACTGGGAAGTAATTACCAAGGACAGTGATGGATGGGCTGTTGGAGTTGCTCATGAAATGATTGGTAAAAGGGACAAATTGGGAAGAACTGAGCATTCCTGGTGCATAGAATGGCTGGGTCCTAGAAAGCAGCTGTCAGCATGGCATAAGGATCAAGAAACATTATTGCACAAGGACAAACCACTGAAGGTTGGAGTTTTCCTGGAGCTACAAAGGAAGACTGTGTCATTTTACTCCATCGATGACAAAGAAATGCTTTTGCACACCTTTGAAATCAGTACCTCAAATCCTCTCTACCCTGCTTTCTGGTTGTACACTCTAGAAAGAAATGGATCTTTAACTCTAAGTCAGCCAAACAGGAGATAAAGCCTACTGAGTTTTGCCAATGACTGCAGAGTTTCTATAAAAGCCTCAGTGTTTAGCACAGGAGTGTACCAAGGAATGAATACATGACTACCCAGGTTTTCCTGGGAATCAGCCACTGATACTTCTGTCTGCTCTGCTTCTCTTCGTGCTGTGCTCTGGTCTAGCCATACTTCATTGAAGCAATGTCAGCCTATGCCAGTAACCACCCCTGTAGGAGTCAGGTGGGTTTCTCAAGCAGCTTTTAGTCCCAGGATATTCCTAGGAAAGAGTGACCTAAGAAAGCTCTAATGTTTGGGATAAAAAATACAGGAGAACAGATTATGCCATTACTTTCTGACAAGTGAGTTTTCTTTAGACAGCTCTGATTGATTAAGGAATGCTCAGAGGGTAAGAATGTTACTGATCTTAGGTATGAAAATCTTTCCCTTTAGGGTAGGCACTAACTATGAAATAGGCTTTGGGTTTGAGGACCTGACACTTCAGGGAGGTGTCCCAGAAGAGCATAATCTCCCCAGAACCATATTTTAGTCTTGCCCTGGCTGAAGGGTTGTCAGTCCTGGTGTGGTGTGACCGTGGGCATCCTTGTGGAAGCAGATGTTGGGGTGTTTATACCAGCTAATAAATCATGTGGACACTTTAGTGCCCTTTTAAAGGGCCTGCAGACACGACTCTGTCATGGGAAGGACCACCTGGTCTTGCCAGCGAGCCTGAGACAGAGCAAGAGATTCTCAGTTGCCTGTGGCAGGTGAAGGAACCAGAGCTGAAGTCCCACAAAACCTACAGACAGCTCGATTTCTGAGAGATCCACTGCTTCAGGCAGGCAAACTGAAAACAGCATTCCCAAGAAGCAAAAGCTTTTTCAGGAAGATTGTGGCATTCCAGAATTGACAAAATAAATAGTTTATCTTGAATAAAGCGTGTGGGATTCAACTATCTCATTTAGTGGAATGGAGCTCCTTGTCTTTTAAAGTAATTGCCAGAAGTGCTGCTCACCTTCAGTTACTCTCTGCTGCCACTGAACACTCTGATGGCCTGAATGCACGTTTTATGATGCCAGGGGTGTGCCATTCAGCCTCTCCAAGGCTGGGGTGGCTTTCCTGGGATAGCCAAAGCCACTGCCTTCTTAGTATCGAGGTGTCCTTTGCTGGTTCATCTGGAAAAACAGCAGCTACAGCATGGAGTCGCTGGCCGTCCCTGATTTCCCACATACGAGTTGCACCGTAGTGCCCAGGGGCAGCAATTTGTTTTGATTTGGATCACAGCAACAACACCCCTAACAACACACAGTGCAGACGGGAACCCGCTGTGTCTCTGTTTGAACATTGGGAAGAATTTCCTGAGTAGGTGATGAAAGGTGGGGACGGGCTGTCCGGGCTGGAGTCACCCTCCCTAGGGCTGTTCAGGGAAACTTGGCTCTGGGTGCCGCCGTCTGGTTGACACGGTGGTGTTGGCTCAGAGGTTGGACGGGAGGATCTCGGAGGTCTTTTGCACTGATTCTGTGATCCCGGTGAGCTCCGGGTGCCCCGGGCTGTCCCTCGGCGCTCGCTGCGGTCGCGGCCGGCCCGGGGGAGCCGCCGCCTCCCGCCCGCGCCCTCAGGCGCAGCCGCCGCCCCGCGCAGCCGCTGCTTGCGGCAGGTCCCTCGCGAGCCGCCGTAGCGCGCCCGCCGCGTTCCGTGAGGGGAGCCCGGGCAGCCCAGGCCGCAGCGGCGCCGCCGCCGCCGCCCCGCCCGATGTGAGCGGCCCCGGGCCGGGGGCAGCGAGCGCGGCCATGAAGAAGGACGTGCGGATCCTGCTGGTGGGAGAACGTGAGTACGGAGGCAGGAGGGCCGGGGAAGGGTGGGGGCCGCCGGCTGTCACATCGCCCCGGTGCTGCGAGGCTCAGCCCGGCCCGGGCGCGGAGCCCGGGGCAGCGCCGGCCCCTCGGGGCGGGCAGGGGTCGGGGTGGGCTCGCCGTGACCGCTCGGAGCGCGGCCTGGAGCCCCTCGGCTCCCTGCTCCGGGCACCGGCACGGCCGGCACTTGGAGGAATTGTGCAGCTTGGACGACCCTGGAGATGACACCGGCATGAAATTCTTGCCCGGTGTTTGGCCACGGCCGGTTTAAACTTTTGGTTTTCTTTTTCTTGTATTTCTTAATTTCTGTTCTTTTTTTAAATTTTTTTTCCCCATGTGAAAATCACACTTGCACGTTTCCCATTTACTGACTTTGGAAATGAGTGGCCTGATGTGCTCCCAGTGGTTCTAGGTCGGGTGTTGTGTGTTTGTGGCCAGGACATGGCCAGAGATCCCTTTTTTGCTTTTAACTTTCCGTGTGACCTTGGATAAACAGCGCACAGGAAGGTGCATGCCGGAGGTACTGTGGGTCTGAATTTTTTCACGTGTTCCTAAAATTGTGTCCTGAAGTTCACGCTTAGGTACCCAAAGAATTGACAAGGCTCGCAGAGGCTCGGCTTCTCATCGGTATAAATAGCAGAGAGGAGGTTCTGTTAGTTTGCAAAGAGAGCTTAAGTTCCTCGAGGGGAAAGAATACAGAGTAATTACCAAGGGTTATTAGTAAAATTACCTAGTTATACTAAGAATGTGGTACTACTAACAAAGCTTTCCTGAGGATTGAATGCCCCATATATATTTATAGCGCAGTTTATGCTGTTGTTTCATAGTGCACGTTGGCTCTGTCTGTACTGCATAGGAAGGCTCTCTGTGACTCTTCCAGAGGGGAATCTTGAGGGAGCTGTCACTGTGCAGGAAGAGCTAACTCATTAAGATTATATTTGGATAGTTTTGCATGACTGTGTTTGGGAATTGTGCCTTTGAACACAGAGTTTAATTCCTCTTTAGAATACATGCCTGATTTACCTCATTGTCTTTGACGAGGCTGTGTTTTGGGCTGGCTGTGTGCTGTGGTTTCAGCACAGGTGTAACAGGTACTTTGTTTTGGCAACAAGGTTCACAGTGTGTCCCAACAGGAATGTTAAAGATACAAGTTTCTTAAACACAGCAATGTGTAGTACATGGCACACATCAGAGACTGTGAGCATCTCTATGTTACACTTCTGTTTGAAGAGTAACAACACTATGTTACACTTCTCTTTGTTACACTTCTTTTAGTGAGGAGGAGGGAGAAATTTGTTTTACAAATTGGTAAAACTTGTCAGTTACAGTGCCAGTCCTGCTTTGTGTATGTGTCTCATGTATATTTATTAGTCTGAAAGCACAGGTTAGTCCAGACCATATAAAACCTTTTAGATGGCAACAGCAGACCATCAGGTTCAGAATCTGAAATATGCCAAAAGCTCTTTATTGTAAGCCTGTTCCAAAACTCAGCCTTTTTCATCCCCAGTGGTCCACAGTTTAGGTTTAAGTTGGTTTAGTCCTCATATGCAGGGTGCAAACGTCAATTTTTAACAGGCAGTAGTTTTCAGAATATGTTCAGCATGTTATGCAGCATGATGTAAAAGACTTATATATGAGGAAAAAGACTAATTATCACAAGGTGCTGTGCTGCTTCTCTTCATCCCAGTCAGCTGATACTGTTTAGGCTGTTATTTCTAAGACTATGAACATATTGGGAAAGACAGAGGGTTGACCTAGATTTGAACAAAATAACCTAAATCTCTACTAGAACCTATGGATTTTCATAAGACCCAAGGGTACTAGAAAGTGTATCAAGAGCTTCTAAATACTGAACATTTACTCACTAGCAATTCATAATCTTCTATTTTCAGACACAAAAAGTGGGTTTCTATATCTGCAAAACCAGTTCTGCCACTGTTTGAAGTTAGAACTGTCTTGGTCAGGTGCGAAACACACATCACTATTTTCACTAATTAGTAACTTTACTTACCTATAAGGAAAGTACTCATCTTTTTTCCCCTGTGGAAAGAGGAGAGCTTCTGAAGCTCTTTCAGTTCTGTCAGGATGAAAATTAAAATGGAGTTGATGCAGGAGGATGCCTGGCAATTGTAAGTTAGGATTTTAGCTCATTTGATACCTTTGATGGAAACACAACTGCATTGCTGTTGGGAAACCTGCAAGCTACTGCTCTGCAGGGAGTACCACAGGGGGAAAAGTTTACAGCTGTTCTCTATAAGGAAAACAGAAATCTTCCTCCTCAGAACAGCTTTTCTTCACCTCTTCATCATAGTAAGTTAAAGAGAAGGTTTTATTTCTGGATGTCAGAACATGTTATTGTGCCAAAAATAGACCTAGATAAGTTGAGTGTACTCTGACTGGATCATCAGTTCAGTAACACCAATTCCTGCATAAAATCAGCCAGTGGTACAATCATACCTCTTCATCTTCCATATTCAGAGTTCTATAGAGTTGTGTAGAGAAGTGTAAATGCAGTGATATCAGCTGAACACCTTCGTCCCCTGGTGACATTTTCTGTTGGTTTCAGTAGGAACAGTGACACAGGCTCTGACTGCTGGTGGGCAGTGCCTTGGCTGGTAACACATTCCTGCTGGCAGAGCTGCTGGTACATCCAGGGTGAAATTGAGTTTTGCTTGAATTGAGAGGTGTTGGAAATAGACAGTTCCAGAGGATATTTGAATGTGGACATGTTGGTTTGTAAGAAATGTCTCAAAACCAAATAAAGCAGTAATAGTCCTACAAGGCTTCCAGAGGACCAGAAAATTCACAGATGAGGGGGTTTAGAGAGAGTGGAACCCTGAGAGAAGTTACCATTTCTTGGTTTTAAGTGGTCACATTAGAGCTTGTCAAAACCAGCGACTAAGTTGTGATATCAGAAGTCTGAACTCTGCAGGTAAACAAAGTCATTTATTTGATTGAATGGTGTTGGGTACTGACGCTGAAATGATCATCTTGGATTAAGAAAACTGTGACTTTAGGAGGGTTGGTGGTTTGGGATATTTTTCACTTTTAGTGGGGGACAGCTCATTTGTATCAAAAGGATTAAGCTCTTGCACTTTAAAAGTAGTCAAAGTACTGCAGACTTGGTTCATGTCCTCTTGTCCAGCTCTTGTCCTTGGGATTTTAGGTTTAAAGTGCAATCATCATCTCAAGAATTCTATAAAAACAGTTAATTTCTGTATGATTTTCTGTGTGCATTCTTTGTTTTTATTTCTGAAGTTGTATTAGAGTGTTTCTAGTTTGTTTTAATTATTTGTTTAAATGTTCTATGTTAAGGTTAAAACCTGGCAATTCTTCTGTGTAAGGCAGAGCAGAATTCACTTCCCTTCTGGAGGAAATACAGAAGTGAGAGATGGAGCCTAAGTTTTTGCAATAAAAGAATTATGAGAAAATTGCTGTTGTCCATATTTAATATGATTAAACAATAGCTTTAAAGCTTTTAATGTGGTGAATTGGAAAATATTTTTAAAATCTTCCCATTTTAAGATGGGGTGCAACTGTTAAGTGTAACAAAACAAATTATCTAATATCTGTTCTGAATGCTTTTGCAGCCAGAGTTGGGAAGACATCACTAATTATGTCTCTTGTCAGCGAGGAATTCCCAGAAGAGGTAGAGCACTTTTATTTGTTTTCCAAGTTTTATTTCTATCCTGTCATATACTAAGATAATAGACTCTTCTCTAAAGTAATGTCTAAAAACAAAGTTTAAAATGGCAAAGATGACTTCAGGAAGAGCGATGCTTAAATCTGTCTCTGCATGATGATGAGAAATTTAAGTTTTATCTAAGTTCCTTTCTTATTTTTCACATTGTTAATTAAACTAATTGTTTTATATGTGATGAATGGTAGGTTTTTTAAGGAGCTGTAATTGGTCCAAACTGTCAGCATATTTCAATATTAGAGACACATAAATGGGAAGGTGCTGAAAGAGACAAGACCAGCAACATTATTGTGGGGGGGGCGGGGGGGTGTTGCATTTAAAGAGCAATTAGATTGCAAAATGATAGAGAATGAGGAATTAAAAGTCACATTTTATAACTTAGCC